GGCGGACCCTCTGGAGCCAAGCGATTCTAGTAATGCAGGGAAGAGTCGTCATGTGGCGTTGATTCTGGCCGCAACTTCTCTAATTCCGATTTTACACTGCTATAGAGCATCTAAAAATTAATACATAATAAAGTTCTAGTCGAAATATTCGAAAATGAAATGGTCCCATCCGTTCAAAAGGAAGATAATACAAGTTTAAGGCATAATTTGGCATCAAGGCAAAGACTTCAGATACCACATAAAGTCTCCCAAACTGACTTTAAATAATTTACACCTGCCTCGAAATGGACAGAAATATAAGTTCAACTTCTGCATTGTGAAAAGAGTGCCGTCGCCTTGATCAAATACGTCAATGTGTAAGCCAAAAGATCTGAGGCAAATATACAGCCCTGAAACAGCATTACGCTCAAAAAGAACTAGCTGAGAGGAGAACCCCTGCATGAATTCAATCAGTAGTATTAATGCGAAGGCCTTAAAAAAATAAGGGTAAAACAATGATATCATACTGGCTCGCATGCCAATCGTCATCTTAAAGGAAGATGTTGTTTTTAAGCTTTGGGGAAAATGGCCTGATAAAGACAAAATACACCAACTTAAACAATAAGAAGTATAAAACTGTAAAGCACAGCTCTTACTGGATAAGTTCTGATTCTCGTTGGGTTTCAATTGGTTATCGGGAGTAGTGTGATCTTGTTTTGGCTTCAATGGCTTTCTCTTAAGGCTCGGCTTCGGCATTGAGGACTCAGGAGACCAAGGCCAGCTACTCAATCTCGCCGATTGGCGTCGACGCGTTGCCAAAGCATTTGTAAGACTACCGTCACCCGTCTCAGAGTAGCCGAGGTCGGCATAGCTATAACCTGCTCGGCTGTCGGACTCAGCCTCGCCGTTGGCGTAACCATAGCCATAGGCGTCCCCTGGGTCAAATCCTGGCCGCACTCGGCGTTCATTGGATTCAAGCAAATGATGCGTCCCGCGTCGGCCAGGGGCAAAAAGTTGAGGATCAGAGCCAGGATATAATTCATTGACGTCATGACCACGGTGGCGAGCGCTGGTCTCCACCAGAGGCAGATGGAAGTCATCTCGATCGCGGCTGCGATGCCAGGAGAGCAGACCTACATTTGGCTTAATCGGGTTGGAGAGAGCAGAGTTGTCGCTTATTGGGTACTTCGAAGGCCAAGCCTGATCTGACGGGTCTGGAAAAATCAAAGTAGAGGAAACTAAGATTTCGCGTGAAATAAAAATGCAAGTTAATTAATAATGGGAGGCACTTAGAGGTTGACGGACAGGGAGCAGTTAAGGTAACATAGGATGAAAATTAAAAAGATTAAAGGACAGAAGGCAGGTAAAGGTATCAAGAAAAAATAGAGTAAAATGGAAAGCAATTATTAGGAGCGGGCGCTACTCACAGAAAGAATGGAAGCAAGAGCCCAAAAAGGATGAAAAGAACTGTACCTCCTACCATGTTCAGAAGCGGTTGAGAAAGAAACAAAGTGTGAAAAAAGAAAAAAATTATAAAATTAACTCAAGTCCAGTAAGAAATTATTATTTAAAATATAATGAAATAAAACACCAATTACAAAATAGCAAGAACAGAAAGCCAACAGCAACCGGAACTAAGTTCGGCCAAAACGAGAGATACTATAGACGAGCAGAGAGACTACCTCTCAAAAATGCCTTCAAGCAGACATTTTAATTTTTAATTTTCATGTTCTTGACCCAGGGTAATCTCAAAACACAAATTCTCTAAATAATGTAATAAAAGCTGTGAATATGAGTAGAGGGGTAGTTTGAATCAGGGCACATTCTCCTATAACAGGTCGCTGAATTAAAAATATTTTGAGTCTATATACAATAAATACTAATTATCTATCCAGAATTAGTAGATATTTGACAGAACAACTTCAAAAGCGATATTACGGCTTGCAGTATCATAAATAAAGCTCTACAGGAGGTTGAAAGTTAAAATAAAAGCAGACCCACCTGAAAGGAACTTTGGCCTAGAAATCATGGCACTGCGAAACTGTGAATCCTCGCCCTCCTCTACTCCTTCATCATGCCCCGTAGGGTCATAAGGATACGTGACTGGAAATCCAGCATGTCTTGAACTTGGTTTCAAATTAACGATTTGCCCAACCTCTTCTTCTGATCCATCATCGTATGCAGCACCGATCCCTCGCAATGACTTATGCGTCGCCGTTGTTGCAGCCGCTTCATGTGGTTGGTGTGGGCGCGGCTGGTGCCGACGATCTGGGAAGCGAACCAACCTCTGAACTCGGCCATATGAACCGATTCTATTGGTATTGTCACCAATTACACCACCGGGTTCCCCACCAGAGGCAAAAAGATAGGAGGATAGCCAAGAATTTTTATCGTCCCTTTGTCTGCTGCCTGTAATTTCAGAGTTACCCTCTCTAACAAGCAAGGCGCGTAGATGGTTGCGGTCTAATGGTTTGGTGACTGATCCAACTGGTGATACAGTCGTTCCTCTGCCAACTTCATCCATTCGGTGCCAGTCCAGGTTATGATTGGCAACGCCTCGACTAGAGAGCCGTTCAATCAAGTCAAGGTACTCTGCCGGATCGACAGGCCCGGAAGAGCCGAGGCTGGTTGACAGAGACGACGACGATGATGCTTTTATAGATCCCCTGTCAGGATAGGAGACTGAAGTAGAGCTTGCAGAAGGCAAGGAGGCAGACTCTGACTGTCTCGGATGCGGGGTTGCCAGCCTTCGAATAGAAACCGGATTCCGCCAGTGCTCCAGTTCTGGAGTAAAGAAACCAGATTCTTTTATAGGATTGAGGAAAAATATATAACATTTCCCTAGTTAAAGAATCAAATCGCATTGAAGAAGAATACGCTCCACAAAGCAATAAACTCAAGCGTAAATAATCAGTTTCCAGTGCGGTTGAAAATAAATGTCAAGTTAAGGATTTAGTGTTTAGTCCCTATTCTTCCAGGAACAGCTAAGCGTATTGATTAATATCTTAGATAAATAATATTTGTGTAATGTCAAAAGTA